ATTAAGTTAGGAAGCCCGTAACTCTGAATTGCTACACATGGCAGAATATATGAATATATGAACATCTGGATCAGATGTTCAAAGCTGTTTAAGGGCAGGAGGTCATTTTAATAGAAACTGTTATGAGAAAGTGGGGGAATTTCATGAAGTCAGAAATCTGTGTATACATCCTTGCGTTAAACAGAACGTGCATTTAGAACTAGATAATCAGTTTTTCTAAGCTTCTCTTGTTGATACTTACAAGCAATTCTTTCAGGAAGTAACTTCATTTGGACTTTTCATTAGCTCAGCTGTATCTCTCCATTAAGAAAGGTAAATACAGAAATATCCCAAATACCTTATTAAAAAAAACCCACACGATCATCTTTAGTTCACTCTTTTATAAACATTCATAAATATAATAAATAAATAAATGCTAAGCATCACAGGATAGAAAATTCTTAAATCAGGAATGATGTTACGGTCCTACACAAGGGCAAGAAATCCTTCGAATGATTGCTGTTCAATATTCCTATCCCTGAAGTAAACAGATCTTAAAATTCAATCATGGGATAAAGGCTACTAAGAGGACAGAAAACTCTTATTTCTGAGTTAGAAGATCATGCATAATGGAGCAGCAAATTTTGTAAATCCGATAAAGTCATTCCAAATAAAGCAGGTGTTTGTCAAATTTTCTTCATAAATACTCTTTCTTTATATATGAATCAAATGCCTGGTCTGTTAAAAATATGACGAACTTTGTTCAATAGCCTCGTCTCCATAAAGAAAATTGGACTAATTATATATATGTGTATTAAGAATTTCCCTTAAATCAATCAAAAATAAGAAATATTTTTTATTTTGTATGGGGTTTGTTTTGTATTCTATCTTCCAACATGAGTCACCGAGAGATGTTTTTGATTCGGGTGCATACAAATATATTTAATAATTAAAAGCTTTCTAGCTACTTTCTTCCATCTGCCTAAAGAATTTGTTGGGAGTACATTTTTACAGGTGTCTTTACTTCCTATGGATGCACCTGATTGGTAGATTCCCTTTCCTCTGCTCATCATCTTCTATGCACAACAAAGGGTTTTGAAAAAGCCTTCTCCAATTCTGTTTCCCTTAGAATTTTGGGTTTACCAATTTCACACGCTCAACCATCATGGTCAGTGGTTTGAAATTATGGAAGCTTTCAACCAAGACACCTGGAAAGTCACAGACTGAAAAACCCTGGCAGTAAAATATGGATCTTTTGCCTGTGAACTCCCCCACCCCCCTCCACTTCATATTCCTTGTTCTTTGTTTCTGTTATGGAAATAAGCTGTAAGATTATCTGGAACAAGTAACTCATTTTTATTCATATTAATTTGCAGCCCTAAATTTGTCTGTGTGTTTCAATAGCCAAACCTCTGTCTTAAATGCGCAGGTAACATTTTCTGTCAACATAGTTTACTCAGGAGGAAAGAAGTTCTGCTGTACTAATGCACAGAAAAGGCACCCATATATTCCTTTTACAATATAAAAATTAAAGCTTCCACGGAGATCAGCAAGCTTGCTTTCGTGCCTTGAATTATGGAAGGCAATCGTAGCCTAGGGATTTGCTAAGTGTTGGTTGGGCTCCTGAAGCTCAGTTCCCCAATATTTCACTCTCATGGGCATCTCATACATTTCATCCACCAATAATACCAACTACCCAGAGAACCTGATGCAGAATGCTGGATTGGTATAAGAGTTCTTTGCATTTACGAAAGATGAAATATTCAGTACTTAATGAGAAAGTAATGCATGTCAACAGAAGAAGTGATTTGTTAACATTCAATGGGTGTCCTAATGAATGTAGGAAGGTTGAGGAGATGCCTGTTATCTCCGTAAGTCAGTGGTGCTAATTCAATTTTTTTTACTACCGGTTCTATGGACATGGCTTGGTGGGCATGCCTTGGTGGGCGTGGCAGGGAAAGATACTGTAAAATCCCCATTCCCTCCCCACCCCACTACCCTGCTTTCCAGCTCCGTTCTCCTGTGCAGGGCAACAAAAGAAGACCCAGCCAATCAGCTGGGACTCAGGAGGCAGTCACAGGGCGGGGCCAGTCAGAGTTGGGATTTACCAGTTCTCTGAACTACTCAAAATTTCCGCTACAGGTTCTGCAGAACCGTTCAGAACTGACAACCGCTTCTGCCATAAGTGTTCAATGCCCTATGCATCCATTGGGAAACGGGTTTTAAAAAGTCAATTTAGTGGTCCCACCTATATGACCAAAGCCTCATCCATTTTGTATATGTATCATCATCATCACACACACATGGCTCGAGATCAACCATTTAAAGGTCGTAACTGTAGACTTTTTGACACCCTCGACCCTGGTCCACCCACAGATGCCACTGCTTGTTGCCCATCTATCATCCATGGATGTTCCAGCAATGCTGTGCTTTGCAGCCAGAGGCACAAAGATGTTCCAGAGTACCTGACATTCTGACATATTTGCAACTCTTTCAAGAATTATGTCTTTTCCTTTGATTGTGTAGCTGCCCTCTGAACTCCTGTATGCTCTGAAGTAGTGATTGGACTTTAACTCCAAATAACTGTACAGCTCTAAGAGATACTGAACAGCTAAGAAAGAACTCGTGCCCACTGCACAACAGATAGTTTCTAACACTTTTCCTTTCCTTCATTTTAATATTTCAGCTGAACTTGGACACAGTCTCCTGGGTTCATTTCTTGGCCATAAATCAAAAGCCTAGAACTGCTGCAATCTGAAATCGGGAAAAGAACCTTCTCTCTTTCTCAAACATATTTATAATGTCACCAGATTAAATGTGTGATTTTTGAATGTGTTATAACTAGAAGAAAGACCGATACCAACTATCCACCTGCTCTGTGCTTAACAGAGGTAACAAGGGTAAAAGTCTATGAAAGAATATAGAAAGCTATTTATCCAGAGATTGTATCTTTGAGAAGACGCGGTTCCTAACCCAGCACATTATCTGAAGTTAATCGTCTTTAGATTCTTAAATCTGAAGTTCATTCCTTTCAGAAGAAATATTTTTGCAGCAAAAATTTATTCTTAGTTAACATTTCTCCAAATGCTTCTAAGTGCAGAAGAGAGTAGAGGATATTTGGGTTGGGGGATATAGGCATAGAATAAAAAAACAACAACCTTGGGTTCATTTTCTTTTTTAGCCTTGTGGATTTATTAAAATCAGTCACATATAATGACATGCCATGACTTCTGTGTTATTAATTCAAATTGCAAACCCACTTTTCCCCAGCCAGATGACCCCAAGATTTGTTTTTTTTTATGTATTCATTTATTTATGAAATGCATTGGCCACACATCTTACCTCAAGGTAATTCTGGGTGGCTTACACTCATTTTTTAAAAAAAGTAGACTGGAACTACAATTGCCAGAATTCCCAACCAGAAGGGGTCAAAACAGGTCTCCCTGGGAATTCTGTGACCTTTAACCCCAACAACCTGGAAGCTTTGAGAACACTAATGTAAACAATGAAGCTAGTAAACAGACAAGTATGACGTGGCATGATAGGACATTTAAAGTTATAGTTTTTTATGTGCCCAAACAGCCCCCAACCACAGCTTCAAACCAGGATATATTCTTGATACATTAATAGTAGCATAGCCAGCCATAATAAATCACGATCTCATGTTTGGGCATCATGCACAGTTTTGTCTGCCTGGTTTCCTCATCTGATGGTACAAAGGATGAGTGGAAATAATCCCCATGCTCATACATGTTCTAATATAAATACTCTTTTTAGCTTATTGTTAAATGTGAATTTGGCCATTATTTCATTAAGACATTTGGTCTATACCGGATGACGGATGCCATTTACTCATAAAGTATGTAATTTGTTTACCCTGCAATGAGTAAAAAGCATTAATCAAAAGGTGCTTTTAAAAAGTGTGCACTGGGTCCTTTTCATTCATTCAGTAACGGGTTATGGGGCAGCAGGACAGGAGAAAAAACGTGCTTCAAGAAGACAAGGAAAGTTGTGAATAGAGCCTTCAATGGGTGAAAGAAACCTCAGGCAAATAGGTTTCAAAACCAGGAAAATCTGAAGATCATACATGGCCTAAGCACACAGTAATGAAATGATGGTTTTTGTTACCAGACCAAAAGTCCCAGCATCTCTCCTTTGGCCACTCTATATGGGCCAACAGCATGTCAGAGGTGCCAATTCTCTACCCCAAGAAAGGTCCATAACCTGTCTTTGGAATGAGCATGTGGAGGTCAGATATAGGACCAAAAAACAATAAGCATCCAATGGAAGGGTGAGCCACTTGAAACATACCTGACCAACTAATGTAAGAAAAGAGAATTGTATAGGACTGAAAATTGGTCAGGTTTTGTGCACAGGGCCGGTGTACAGTTCAGACCGTGGACCACACTATATGCTTTGCGCACACAGATAGTAAGGGACAATCCTGAAGGATTACACAAAAGGCACAAAAGAGGATGGGAAAAAGATTCTAGGGGAATCTTCTGCCAGTTTTAGACTTCCACCTCAATTCGGTCTAACCTGCACAAAAATGTGTGTGTATATGGGGGTGTGGGGGGTATGGGGGAACTTGCCTTCAATTCTTGGCAATCCCAATTCAACAGAGCCATAAGAGGGAAGGGGAGAAAAAAAAACCCTCTTAGGAGAGAGTTGGGTTTACTCTTCCACATTTCCCAACCCGTACGGCCCTTGATGGCTGGGAATTCTGGGGTGGCCAAGCAGGCAAAGGCTATCCCGAAGCTAGCCAGCCGCTCCGGGCGTGCTTGGCTGGAGGAACTGTTGAAGGCGGCTTCCCTCAGAAGGCGCGCTTTACGAATGTTTTTGGGACAGCTGGACGCTCGGAGGCGGGATGGCTCCAGGGGAAAAGAGGGACCGGGAAGATGTAAAAAGCCAAAAGATGGCTGTAGATGTAAAAAGCCAAAAGACTCTTGGGGGGGGGGCGGCCCTCAAGAGCCTTTTGGCTTTTTACATACCTACAGCACAGCCTCGCTCCGCGCTCTCACCTGCTGACGCTGGCTGTGGTTGCCCGGCGGCGCTCCGGGATCGCTGCCTCGCAGCACCGTGATGTGCAAGGTAAGCAGGAGGAGCCCCAGCAGGAGCAGCAGCTCGGCCGCTAGACGCATCATCCTCCTGCAGAGGACGGCTTTAGGGCTCCGCGGCGGCGGCGGCGGCGGCAACTGAGCAGCAGGAGGAAGAGAAGGAGAAGGAATAAGAGCCGCCGCCGCCGCCACCGCCGCCGCCGCCGCCTGCCCGGCCGCTAAGGAGTCGAGAGCTGGAGTTCCCGCGCTAGCAGCGCCGCTCTCGGGGTCGTTCGGGCCAGCAGGAGAGGAAGCGTCGTCGCAGGCAGCGCCGCCGCCGCCACCGCCGCCGCGCCGCCGCCACCACCACGGCGGAGCCACTTCGGGATGGGAGGAGGTTTCCGAGGCGGCGGAGAAGGACGACTGAGGACGCTCGGGCGACGGCGACGGGGCGGGCTGCAGGGGTCGCTGCTGCTGCGCTCGCAGCCCTGCGCTCGCATGGGGTCTTTGCCTGCCTTGCCAAAAATATAAAAAAAAGCGGCCGCGCGCCGTGGCTGGGGGCTGCCGGGGTTTTCTCTCCCGCGCCTCCGAGCGCGCCCCAAGAGACGTGGCCGGGCGGCCCTCGGGTTAAAAGCGGAGGGGGGCGGGGGGAGACGTGCTGGGCTGGCGGCTCGGGAGAAATCGGGGCGCTGGTGGTGTAGATGCCCGGCCTTGTCTGCAAAGGCACCGTGAAAGGGGTCGGCCGCCGTCCGCCCCTGCTGGCGCCGAGCGGGAGAGCCCCGCTTGGAGGAGTCGGTCCCGCTCCTGCGAAGTCTGTCGCCTCTGGCTCTCGCTGTCCGCGCCAGGAGGGCTGTTTTCTGCTCTCCGCCTCCGGGGTGAATTCGCCCCGACGTCTCTCAGGAGAACCAGACCCGCCACCCGGGTCCTTCAGAGAGTCCAACCCCCCGCTGTCTCCCCTCCACAGCAGCCTTCGGGAGCCTTCGCGCTGCCCTTAACTCGGGTGCGCTTTCAACCGCGGGGCGCTTTTCTCCTCAGCCCATGAAGCCCTGACGAGCGGCTGGCTGTCAGTACGGGCTCGGCTCGTGTGTCAGTCGGGAGCCCCGCGCGAAGTTTTCCCGCCTTGCCTCGGCTCCGTTTGAGGGCGAGTCCCGAGCCTCCTTTTATTTTCTCCCGGACCAACTTTCACCCCCTCGGGTCTCCCCGGCCTTCCCTTTCCTCCTGCTTCTTCTTACGGCCGCGGCCGGTCCGAGGCTAATTCCCAGGCAGAGAGGCTGCGGCTCCTCTCGGCTTCTTAGTCTCCCGCGGGGTGTGTGATCCGCCGCCGAGAGGGAAATCCAGTCTGAAGGGACGGTCGAAGTTTTTGGCTGGGAGCCTGGCGGGGGGACACTCGAGCCCAGCCAGTTGGGATGGCGAAGCGAGGGAGCAGCGCTGGTGCCCGCGCTGAAAGGCGGGCTCCCCTTCTCCGTCCAGCCTGGCTTTCTCCTTGCGTGTGTCTCATGCTTTTATACGAGGCTCTTTTCCTTCTCTGCTGAGCTGTTGTCCCCCCCTTCTCCCTCCCCCCCCTTTTAAAGTTTTCTTTCTTCTGATCTCATCACAGCCGCTCTTTTCTCCCCTCCCCTCGCGTTTTATTCCCTGTGGCTAACTTCTTGTTTGCCCCTCGCTGCCATCCTGGAGAGTTACAAGCCAGGACATCAGCAGGAACCATGTTCCAATTTCCCTTGCATTTTTAATATAGTCACTTGTGGCTCCTCTTGAATGGAACCAGTGCTCCCCATTAGACACTCAACAGTTTTTTTCCTCCTTAAGGGAAGGAAATTATTCCCACTCCAAAGGAAAAGACAATTTCTTCCCCAGGTTAATTCTTTAGTTGACTTTTCCATCCACTTTGCTCAGCGCTGTTGAAGACAGGCTCTTAATCCAATATTGTTTCCATTCAGTATATGGATAATATTAATCAGTAGCAAGTCCATTACGGGTTTCTTTAAAATATGAATCAGGAGGTACACAATGTATGTAGGTTCTGTGAAAGAACCAGAGGTCCGTAATTTGCCTGTAGATTTCTTACTACCATCTGAATGGCTGCGGTGGAAACAGAAGGATTGAACTAAATAGGCCTTCCATCTGATTTAACTCTTTATATTTTCTGTTCATTTCAAAGTACAAGATTTTGGGGAATGGGCAGGTTACAAAGATGGTAACGTTACTTTACCAAATAAAACTGGTACTTGGACTGATTCTCCAGATCTTCTCCCACACCTTTAAGACCCTAGATCTGGGGTGGCCAACTATGGCCCCCTTTTTAACCTGTGGACTTCAACTCCCAGAATTCCCAAGCTCACCATGCTGACTCAAGAATTCTGGGAGTTGAAATCCACAGGTTGTAAACGGGCCATAATTGCCCATTCCTACACTAGATACCAAACAGTATTTTGGGGGCCTGAAGTATGCCTGATCTAGAGCCCTCCTAATATCCACATTCAGCAATCTTAGGTGTAATAGGTAGGGTTGTGCTAATTGCCTGTCTGTTATTTTCATTTATGTAAAAATGAAGGAGTCCAATAATGTTTACAATATTGCCTAGTTTATCTTCCTGCAGAGTTCCTCATGCATTTTTCCCTGCTGAGAAATAGGGGCAGCCTACCTATCTGAAAACAAACACCATTTAAACCAGCAGACTTTAATTCTGAGAAAATATGAACAAGATTCCTAGCCCAGCAGTAAAATACAATGTGCCATGCTGTTTAAAAACTGTAACTATGTTGATCACAGCATATATGAATGCTTTTTAGAGCTTTGATATGGATAATTTTTTTAAAATATATTTCATGGCTGATATGTAATGTAACACCACAGATGTATATTTGTGAACTAGCAATACTGAACCTTGTTGACAGTGAACTACAGTCAAGCAGAACTGGGTACATTTTATAACTGAATCAGATGAAATCTTTCCATGCTCCCTGGAATGTTACAAGATATTCCTTCTGTTTTTGTTTCTGGGAAATCAGTCAACCCTCAGTTTTTCCAAGAAATATTTGTGCAAAAAGTCAGGCTTATATTCTGAGTGCATTTCTGAGCTATCCAGATTTATGGTTGTCAAACTTGGTACTTAATTTTTAACATAAAATATTTTAAAGCCACTTTTAAGGACAGCAAGCAATAGTTAAAATGTCAGGGACAACTGAAAAAAAAATGGCATTGCAATTAAGTCATATCCCATTAAGGGAACAATGATCCAGATTTAAGAGGTGAAATTCAATGTAGGCAAGTACTTATAGTTCACATACACTCCAGAGAATTCTCAATTTGTCAGCAACATTTCTTCTAGTAGAAGAGAGTAGAAGTAGAAAGATCCCTATTGGATATAAGTCTTAAGGAGAAGCAATCTACTCATTCCAGAAATGATGACAAGAATTTCAGTAAGGGGCAATTCCTTAAAGAAAATCTGTTGGCAATTCTGGCTGAGGCTCATGGGGGTTGTAATCCAAAACATATGTAAGGTACTGGATGTTGCATGTGCCTTACAGATAAGAACAATTATGTAATAAATCGAGCTGTGATAATCCTTGTCAAGAAAGCACCAACCAATTTTGTGAAGGAGCACAACAACTAATGCAATCTCCTTTGAATCCAGCTGATCTCCTAGGGATGAAGTTTTCTTGGCTCAGGGTTTGGACTTGCCCTAGGAAGAGGGTTGAGACCTTCCTTACCCTCAAGAGTTTTTAGGATGACTTTGCACCAGTCACTCTCTCTCTCTCTCTCTCAGCCCAATATACCTTACAAGGTTGTTGACATGCATCTATCAAAACAACTAACAACAGCATAGAATATTTGACATTGCTATTTTGTTTCACTACTTAGTCAAGATGGCCCTCATTATTTCCCACTCAAGTACTGATCAAACAGTATCCTTTATCCTTGAAATACTCATGTCGACAAAACATCCAGACATTTGATTTAAGATGCTTTCTTCCTCTCCATAAGGCCAGAAAAAAAAAAAGTCACACCATCCCTTTCTCCATTGGCCTTCTGACTCCATTACCTACTCAATTGCCCTTTTCACTCTATTGCTTGCCTCATCTCTCCCAGGCTCTCACCTCCTGCTCATCTGTCTCACACACTCCGTGGTCTTTCTGTCTTATTTTTCTTTTTCTCTTGCTGAACTGCATCCCTTTTTGATCTTTTGCTTTTTGTCAGGGATGCTGGGAGACCCTGATGGGCAAATTCTCCTACTCTACTCTGCAAGTTGCTTGATCGGGCAGCTTCATCTACCTGGGTTAATAAGAAGCCCATGAAATATCACGCCAGCATTTTGTATCCAGTTTCTGGGGTTCCTGTTGCTAAGCTGAAATGGTCATGGAGGGAATTCACCAGGGACTGGAGAGGAAGCTAAAAGGAGCTTGGTAGACCCCAATCCCTGTTCTGCCATCTCCATAACAAAACAGGACATATGTGTTTACAGCAAGACTTGTGCTGGGAAAAGAAACACCCTTTAAATCAGGTCTGTTAAATATGCATAGGTGGCTCCAGCTATGATTTATGGATGAGACCAAAAATGTGCAATAGTGATACATCTTTAAAACAAAGTAAGGCCCCACTGAAGCCCATGTAGTTGATCCCCAAGAAGAAAATCTTGGAGAATCCCTTCTCTGGAACCTGCAGGTTTGATCTATGATATCTGGGTGGAAGTACATGTGAAATTTTGGAGAAATGTTGGGTATGTTATGATTTATTTAAAGGCTATAAATTAATGGCTAGGATGACGGAAATATCATAATATATACCAGATTAAGGGACAGTGTGGTGAAAAGAATTTCTTGTACATAAGATCTGCAGCTGGTTTCCGGGTAATGTAAATTCACTAGATCCTATTAATTAAAAAAACCCATATTTAATCCATCCAAGTCAAGCTTGTATTTGGCGTGCATTTCTGGATACACTGTTAATTTTTATGTGTCAAGATGTTGTGCAATGCTAGTAAAGGGCTGTAAAACACTAATATCGGCAGTTGGAGAGTACATTCTCTTATTATAGGAAATATGTCTGAGCAGGCATCGCTTTACAAAAAAGCTTGTCTTGTATAGATTCAGTGCCAGTGCCATTGCAAGGGTGATTGAGTAGAAATGAAAAAGGACAGGAAACTGTATAAACCATACAGTCTTGCTCTGTTGTCTATGGGGAAGCCCACACAG